AGGGGTAGGGGAACGGTTGGGCTGGGGGAGCTTAAAGGGCTTTGCCAGCCCAAACCATTCTGTGATTCTGTGGAAGTGGCAGTACAAATGTCCATTTTGTCAAATTACAGAATTTGTTCTTTTTGTGATATTTGTATTAAGGTATTTCAAGTGCATTTCTTCTTTCAGGTCATATTTTTGCATGATGGCTAAAGAAAGAAATGTTAAATGGTGAAAAAGAATGATGGGAAAAGGCGTGGGAAAGAGAGAGGGGGGAGAACTAGATGCAAGGGATAGAGTAACGGGTTAGTGTGGAAGAAAAGATGTTTGGCAGTGCCAGAACAGTGCCAGGCAAAGCAGAAAAACGAGCTTAAGTCCAAATAAGGAATGAAGTATATGGTGAAAGAAAGTGGGGAAAGATGACCAGATCGCTGAGTGGAAGGATGAATTACAAATAAGGAGGGCTGGGAGGAGAAGCGACAACGGCAGGGTGCATGCCAAGCGAAACAGAAACGCAATACGTATTGCGTTGTGCAGCGCTCTGTTTGTTGTTCATTGCTATTGCTGAAGGAAAAAGGAATTGGAGCCCTCCTGAAGTGAACCAGAACTAGTTAGGCTGTGAGTCTGGGCCATGGTGTTCGAGCTGTCCATCTGAGCCTACTCTGTAGTCGGTACTTAAATGCAGGGGGCTCACGTTACTTAACTGTGCCTGTAATTCCGAACTGTTTAATTGTTCTAGAGCTAAGCCGAAAAAGGCAGAAGATGAAACGGTACGTCGGAGATCTATGCGCTTGCAGAGAGTAGAGCCGTCAGGAATTCCAACGCTGGAGGGGTCTGCCCAGCCAGAAGCAGAGGAATACGTAAGATGGGGAAGGGGTAGGGGAGATACGCGTGCATACACACAGAAGTGTTATAAAAACGGTGCTGGCGAAGCTGACCGGTGACGCTTGTTGTTGCTGGGCATATTGTAAAAACCTGTAGGCATTTGGGCAGGGGCGTTATACCGTGGCGATGACAGAAGGTAAATTCTCTCGCCCTGAAGCATCTTGAAGAGCGGGCTTCCCGCGGCCCCTCTGAAGGTCAGTCGATATTCTGTGGCTCAGGCTGACGAAGCAGCGCGGTTTTGGATGAGCAGAAGGGCAAAGCGTTACGCGTTTTTCAACAGCCCATAGATCTGAGCAGCTTTAAGGTCAAAGTTTTATTACTGTGTTTTAATGTTATTCCACCGTAACTTTGATCTGGTTTATTTTCCTTTGAAATATTTATTACCTTTTTGAAGTAGTTCTATAGCATCAAGTAAAAATGCTATTGCTCAGAGAGGCGGGAATTTATATCATCCATGGTGCTGCAGAATAAATCTCCATCTCTGTAACACACTTCTTGAAGATGAGCCTCGCTGGAGTATTGGAAAGGAGAGGAAAAACCAGGGGTTTAGCTATTTGTCTTTGCTGTCGTGTTCAGTAAAGTTCTATTTATCTTTTCAATAAGATTTGATACAAACTTTTTTGTTGTCGTTAGTTTATTTCCTGTATTGCATAGGTGTGTTCTCAGCATACCTGGTGCGTGGAAGGTATCAATTCACCCTATTTGCAGTTTTAGTCGATTTGGGTTAAGAAAATTGCTAATGTCATTCCAGCCTCAAGTGCCAGCCGGGCCTTTGCCGATGGTTCCAGAAGGTGAGATGGAGAACAGTAAATTGGCAGAGGACTTACTGGCTACATGGATGCGGATAAGTGAGGTATTATCAGTTACAGCTGGTTATTTTTGGGTAATGTAATCTAGCGTGGGTTCTAATTCTGCTCAATATTTCCTTTCTACCTGTAGATGAAAGCTGATGATACTGAAAAGCGCACGCGTGACATGAAAAGGTAATGTGAAGAGAGCGGCTAAAAACTGGGTGTTGCCTTGTTCTCCTTTCGTCTCTTGAAGAGCTGACGTTTTAATGCTGTTGTCTAGATACCAGGAGAGCCTGAACAGCATGGTCCTCAGTGAAGATAACATTAAAAAGGTGGTGAAATACCGGGTGTGCTCCATGGCTATCCATCCTTCCGAAAGCATCATCTTCGTGGCAGCTGGAGACAAGTCCGGGCAGATTGGTCTCTGGAATGTGGTGAGTTGTTAGCGTGCTCCTCAGTGCTCCTCACCGGGCAGAGCTGTTTGCTGCAGGGCGGGCGCAGATGCGGCACAGCCTGCGGCGTCATTTTGTCTGGCTCGCGATGGTATTTTAGACTTTCCCCATTCTTATGGATAACGCCTGGGTGTCTGTTGAATTGAGGCTCGCCAGGATTGCTTGAAAGGTCTGTCTGGTCCTTGGTGAGCCCAGGTTTAACAGGAGGAAAGGTTGCACGGGTAATTGTTGTGGGAACAAGTATAGGATCTGCAGGTGTGGTGGATAAGTATAGGATCTGCATGTGTGGCGGCTGAGCTGTAGCATCTGCAGGTGTGGAGACTTTGGTTTGGGACCAATGAGAAAAGGGATAAATAGAGTGATCCCGATGCTGCTTGCGCTTGTGCAGGAACTCGGGGTCCGTGCCTGCTTTGCCACAGGTAATTTTTGGGGGCAGAGTGGAAGAAAATGGATCGCTAGCTGAAATATTATCAGTGAGGGTTAAAATTGCAATCTACCATTGAGAGATTCGGGACCTAATCACAGTATCCTTGTAGCACTACCATGGCTAGGTTTTGGAGAGTGAGGGAAATGGATGCTCAAGTATTTGGGGTTTGAGTTTGTACAAATTTTGGGTAGCTGCAGTGAGTCGCTGTTCTTCCAGATGGCCAAGATAAAAACTCTGTGCCGAATATGTGCTGGCACGTACTTACATCCGTTGTCTCTGAAACATAGCTTAGCATGTGGTGCTTCAAAAACTTTTGAGGGCTTTGCAGATAGTCTCACCGTCGTTTCTGAATTGCCTGAACTACCTGCAGCAAGAATCCTCACTCATGCCCTCTGTAGCCTCCCCCCACCCTCCACTTTGATCCCTTGTCACCCAAACCAGCTGCTGGAAGTTCACACACACCCACGGATTTTCTTCTCGTTTCTTCTGCCATTAACCTCTGGAGTTTCTCTCCAGCCATTTCTGTTCTGGCAGTTGCAGGAAACTGATCAACTAGATTCAGCTCTGAGACTCTCAGTCAGTTATGGAGAAGTTTAAAATGTTCCACGTAGTTTAGAAAGCTCTGGCTGCAGCTGCGGTTACTACCTGTCGCAGAGTGTGATCTGGTGACGGGGGGAGGCTGAGGTCTCCAAGTGCTGCAGGCTCTCTGCGGCCTTGCAAAGACATCTCCGTGGAAGCCTACAATTGTTAAAGCCACTCTCTTCCCTTTTGCTCTCCCTTCTTTTATTCTCCTGAAGTGCGTTGGACTTGACCAAGTTTGGGAGCAGAGTAATCTTTGTGGAATGAACCAGTACTTGGTCCCAAATGATCTATTCATTTTCTTCTAAAATCACAGCTTGAACAATGCCAAAATTAAAAGAGATCTAGGGGATTATGCTTTACACTCAGCTTGGGTCACTATCACTTAGCTTGAGTTCTAAGGAACCCCCTACGCACATATTTTGATGTAAATGGCGTAGGTTTGGTCCTCAGCGAGGTGTTCAGCTGCGGTAACTGAGAAACCAGTTCTGTCAGTAACAAGGAGCTGGGTATCCATGTTCGGAGACAGTACTGATGACTGCAGTGACAGAGGTGCGCTTAAATTACAGCAGGAAACCGCAGCTTTTCCTAACTGGGAAACAGAATTCTGACACTGAGAGTGAATTCTTAGTGCTCTTTTGAGCTAAATTCCTTCTGTAGTGGTGAAAATGGTCGCGGGAGGGAGGCGGTAGCCAAGCGGTGCTGTTGTTGAGCAGTCTGCGTGAGGGCAGTTCCCACTTCCAAGCAGAGGTGAAACCCCCTCTGCCAGTACGGTGTTACCTGGGCACGCCGTGCCCCCAGGTGCTGTCTCTGCCTGCGTTAGCTGTGCTGACCTCTCTGCACATCGAGCACCCTGCTGCCTCTTCCAGACAGTTATCCAGAGCAGACTGAGAACGTTTGGAAGAGACTTGACTTTGAAAGCTGCAATAATTAATAGAAATTACTACAGTGATTAGCGTCTGCGTCCATTGAATCTCAATTGTTTTTCAGAACTGTAAGTCTGAAGGAGCACACGTCTTCGTTCCGCACAATTACCTGGTCAGCTGCATGCATTTTTCTCCATTTAATCCTGCTCACTTGCTGTCTCTAAGCAGTGACACTCTGCGATGTGGCGACGTGACGAGAGCCGTCTTTGACGAGGTGAGTGCTCCCTCGGCTGTGCTGCAGGCTCCTTGGAAGTCTCTTGCTACGCACTGCTGTGAAGTTCTAGTCTCGTTGTACCCAAGTCGTTATTTTTTGGTTGTTTTGTTAACAAGGAAGTTCAAGACTCCATTTCCACAAGGACCCATGAAGTAACCTTTAATTAACATCATAAAAATCCGGAGATGCTTCCTAGTCAATAAAATACAGTAACAGCTTGGGTACTCCCAGTTTCCTTCCTGCAGAGACGGTTGCAATTACTGAGTTTAATTTCATATCTCCGCACTTCAGCGATACGTGCCTCTTTTTGAAAGCATTACCTTTTAACGGTGACAAATGAGAGCGATTTAAAGAACTAAATCTTATCAAAAAAAAAAAACCTAACCCACCCAAATAGACATCATTGACTTTGCTTTTCTCAGACTTCAAGTGAGCAAAATGCTGTGCCTGTCTTCTCCACGGTGAGCCAGACAGCTTCACCGAGGAGCTGCATGATGCTTGCTTTGTTTGCTTATTTTTGACAGATACATCTGCATCGATCAGCACTGAAAAATATAACAAGCTACAGCAGTTCAAAGCTTTTTTTTTTTTTTTTCCCCCAACCCTTAGAGGTGCTGTAATTTTGGTGGGGTTGCAGGCAGGCCAGCTGCTGGGGATGCATCTGCATTGGTTGGTCACGAGGCCAGGAGGGTCCGGGGGGGCTCTTCCTTGGTGACAAATGCTTGCAAGGATGTGTTTTCAGAGGGGTGGGGGGGAGAGGAAGAGAAATGCTGCTCTCCTGCTCTGCTTATGCCAACTTGCACAGCCTTGCGGTACCTCCAGGAGCATTACTGCTGGCGGAGAGAATACAGCTGCTAATGGGGAGCGTCTGCCCACCTGCAGAGCGCCAAAACGTGGATGTTTTCCTGCAGCTTTACTATACCCGTAGCTAACTGCTGCTTTGAGAGGAAGCTTCCGTGGGATAAGGTGGCTTGACATCCTGATCTCCCAAGTTATAGGAAGCCAAATTTACATTTCTGCACCCAACTAAAGGTTTCTGTAGTGTTGGAGGAAGGAACGGTATCATTAATCCTCGCTCAGTATGCGCTCGAGGATAGCAGCCGTTCGATTGCTGGAACGTGGAGGCGCTAGTGTCTTGCAAGGGTTCTGACACACAATTCAGAGTTGCCCGTTTGATCTGCATGGGTAATTACCTCCTCTGTGGAAGGCATACCAGTTTTACAGAAGGGTTACCTACATGGGAACCTGCTTTAGCAGGGGGTTGGACTAGATGATCTCCCGAGGTCGCTTCCAACCCTTGCGATTCTGTGATTCTGTGATGGGTAGCAAAGGCTGGAGCCTTCAAATTAGGTAGACTTCGTTAATATTTTTAGTATATTAAAGGGGAAAGCATGAAATCTACAGCCATGAAATCTACAGCCCCTGGAGTGCTGTGGGTGTTATGAATAACCCTGTATTTTATTGAACAGTTTTGGTTACATTTGACCTTTTCTGTGCTCAGATATGCAGAAGTGAAGAAAACTTCTCTTCCTTTGACTTTTTGGAAGATACCGCCTCCACTGCAATAGTAGGGCACTGGGATGGCAACGTTGCCATTGTGGACAGACGGACGCCAGGAACATCGTCAGAGCTTTCTGCAGACATTGGCTTCAAAAGAACGAGGACGGTCCACGTGCACCCGGTGAATAAGCAGTACTTCATCGCCGCTGGCTCAGTGTACGTAGCTCAAAGGGAACGGCGGTTAGGCTGGGTTTCCAGTGTCCCTCCTGCATCGGTGCCTGAAGTCGGCTGTAAATGGCACGTTGGGAGGGCAGGGGCAGCTGACCATGAGGCACTTTGCAGCCACAGGGTGTACTCAAAGCTTTCCTGGTCGTAGAGAGCAAGTTTTTAGTTCTTAGCAGGATTTAAATTAAATATGTTTTAGACTTCCCTTCCCTTTTTGGTAATGGATACCAAATGGTCTTACAAGTCACTGTGTCTCTTGACCGATCTCCGAGTAGAGGGACGTTACTGAGCTGCTGGTTTGGGCTGGCTTTGGTGCCCTCGCAATCCTCTGGAGCCACTGGCCGTTTGCGTGGCTCTGCGCTGCTGAAGTGAAGTTCCAAATGCAGCTCACCTAAAACCTGTGGTGTCTCTTGGGTGTTTTTGGGCACGCTGAGAGTAAGAATAAATGTGTAGCTGTCACCTTGCGAAGTGTTGTGTGTGATGTGTGTTGCAGGGATGTTTGTATTTATGATGTTCGATACCTGAAGTCCAACAGGAACAAGCCTGTGAGCTCTCTTAAAGGACACACAAAAAGCGTTGCTTCTGCCTATTTCTCGCCTGTGACTGGGAACAGAGTAGTGACGGTGTGTGCTGATGATAAGCTGAGGTAAGGCCGTGTGGGAGGGAATAACCTTTATGGAAAATGTCAGCTGGTGGGTTTTGTTGTTATCTCCTATCTGCATTATCCATCACTGAGAGCTTTCTGTCGTTACCGCTTTTCAAAAGTGGATTTCCTTGCACTGGCATTGGTAGTGTTGAATGATTTTTTTTGAGGTTTCCTGAAGAATCTTTAATAGTGAACAGTAAAACGTACAGGTGCTGTTAGCCTCTAAAAAAACCCAAACCACAAACCAAAACCCCACCCGAAACCTGGCTCATGAATACAAATACAAAATGCTTAGAAATGGAATTTATTTTTACCTGCTGGTGCTCAGAAGTGTGATACTGTCAGCTCCTGCGTCTCCGTCTACTGTTTGATGATTTAAGCTGCTGTGAGTTGTATTGTATTAGGGATGTAGTTTTTCTTTCTGTTTTCTAGTTTTGTGACCATAATTTAGGTGATCTAGTCCTGCCAATACCTGATTGCCTCTGCATATTTGCCGTATAAGGCCTAAATGCATCCAAGAATAGCAGGTACGAAACGGGGGGCCCGGTTAAGGCCAGGTGGAAAATCAGGCCCCTGCTCTACAGGTTGCTTGTGTTCTGAAGTCTGGGGTAACTCCCGACATTCTGGAAAGAACCTGAATGTGGTACAGTTGTACAGCATTATGTGTTTTGCCTGGAAACTTGATTTTCTTTCTTCCCTCTCCACATATGCAGGAGAGAGTTCTTCCGTGCGGGTGCTGCCTTGCTGTAATGCTTTCTTTCCTGGGATGTATTTACTATAGATATGTGAAGATTTGTTCTCCGTAGTAGGCTTGGTTATGAAAATTGTAACTCCTTGGTGCAAACAGCGCGTGTCAGAGTACGAAATGGATAGGAGTAAACCAGAGTATTTGTGCTCTGCAGAACAGAGAAAACCAATGCAGGATCATATACTCGCTGCCTCCTCTGAAGAAAAAAGAAAGCAGCTTTTAACGCAGCAGCTTGCTGGACTTTGTGCCCTAGGGGGTGTGGGTTCCTAAAAGTTTATTGGGGGCGAAGGAGAGCCTGGAACGGGACATCTGCTGACGGCTTCTCTCTCAGTCGAGCTCACGCCTGCCGGAGAAGTCCTGGCGCTGGAAGCTGCTCGCAGTGGGATTTCACTCTTGCCTGCGTTCTTCCCCAGGCAGCCTGTTAGGGCAGTGGCTCAGTGGAGAGGCTGCTGGGCTAGAGGAGCTGTTCGTTGGTCCTAGCAAGCCGTTACTGTTCTCTTCTCCTAAAGCTTTTGGAAAGGATGACCTTCAGGTCTAGCTAAAAGCAAGGGCAATTAAAAAAGCAAAGGTAATGACTGCTGTTGGGATGTCAGTGCTTACACTTGAGCCAGATGTCTGTACTGTTCGTGACTATGTTCCAGACTCTCGCGTGGGCTGGCCTGTGCTGGTCTCTGCAAGGTGCTTGGTGAGGAAAGGGCTGGCTGCCTTTTTTAACGCGTGTACATTTTATTAACTCCTTATTTCGTTTTACAGGGTCTACGACACCACCTCTTTGTCGACAGTCGCGGTTCTCAGTACCATCAGGTGAGCTGAACGCACGGGCTGAGGCCAGCACGCGGTGGCCGTTCTGCTCGTGTGCGCTTGTGGCGTAAGCGATGGGTGCGCAGAGGCTGCGCGCTGGTGGGTTCCAACCAGCCACGGGCTAGTGAGCACCTGCAGAGGCGAGAGCAGCCCTAGTGCCCCCCTAGCCTGAGGGTTTGCCGTGGTCCTCACCCAGGGGTGCCTCCTGTGGCTTTTGTTCGTAAAGCACGACTGGGGTGTAGCTGCTGTGAGTCGGTAAAGTCTGCAGGGAAGCTTTAATGTCTTCCTGCGTACCTGGAACAGACCATTTTGTGACTTCTGAGCGGTGTCTTGTTTGAGAATGTTTTTTTTTTTTCCTTGTGCATTTTTTTAAATATCAAAGGTTACTTCTTCATGGTAAAGTGCCGGGTTTTGGGTGGAGTGCCAAGACTTTACAGCACCTGGGTGCTCCAGAAGGGTGAATCGCAGTCAGGGTTGGTTTGCTAGGGAGCTGGAACTGGATGCGTGACTGCCTTGGAAGTTCTTAGTTTGCCATTTTTCAAAAGGCTTGAGCGCTTTTGTCCTATTTTTACTAAAACACACAACCATGGAGCATAACTACTTTGGCTAGTAGTCACTTATGTCACTGTACCCTCTGCTTCGTCTTCTTGCTCCATCACGTTTCCTTGCCCCATCCCAGCCATCGCAGGGTAGGGATCCGCTGCGGGGGTCTGAGCAGCGCGATCGGCCCGGTGCGCGGAAGCGCTGCTGGTTATCAGGCGAGGAAGATGGGCTTAAGCAAGGATGACCTAAATGGCGGTACTTAAAAACACTGGCTTCAGTAAGAGGAATGTTTCTCTCTCCCTTTCTCTCCCTGTTTGTTTCTCTGAAGCCATAACAGTAACACAGGGCGCTGGTTAACGAGGTTCAGAGCAATATGGGACCCTAAACAGGAGGACTGCTTCGTGGTGGGCAGCATGGCGCAGCCCAGACAAATCGAAGTCTTCCAGGATACTGGAGAATTGTTGCACTCCTTCTATAACCTTGACTACCTTGGTTCCGTGTGCTCCATCAACGTGGTTCATCCCACTCAGAACATCTTAGTGGGGGGCAACTCCAGTGGCCGCCTTCATGTGTTCAAAGAATAAAAAAAGTGGCTTGGATTTTCCCCACCCCCCTTTTTGCATTAATTTGTTTAATCCCTACCGAGCTGTTCCTAAGCCAGCTGTATTTTCTCAGGACACGAGTGTATTTTAAAAGCTTTAAAATAAATCTCCTAAGCTACCTTTGGCATTCTTCTAATTAAAAATTAATCCTGCTATGACAGTAAGTTTTTACCAAACCAGATTAATTTTCCCTGATACTGAAGTAATTTTTCAAAAAAAAAGAAAAACCCCGTTGCCTGGGTAGGGTACTTGCGAAGCGGGAGGGCTCGTTCTCTGCCAGGTTGCGTGGTGCTCCCACCCTCTCGTAAGGCTGGTAGGCGTTCGGTATCCCCGTCGTCGGCAAAATCTTCTCCCTGGAGTCAGACCTCTACGGCCTAACCCGGCCCTTCCTGGGGCAGAAGGAAGGTCGGGGCCGCGGGCGCGGTTCCGGGGAAGCGCCGTGGTTGGGGGTTGCGCTTGGCGTCGTCGCGGCGTAGGCAGAGGGCTCTGTGGGTGCTGAGGGGCGGTGCGGTGGTCCTGGGCCATGCGCTGCGGGTCACCGGCCTGCGCCTCCCCTTTCAGCCCCTGCAAGCCCCTCGGGGCGGGGGGGGGGCCCCACCGGAACG